CGCTGTCGATTGTTATTCGGGTAGTAAGGTGTCCGTAGAAGACGTCCAGGTATGGTGATTGCCTTGTCTGGATCCTGTACGCAACGGGAGGGGAGTTGGCTGGTTCTTCCTCTGTGTGTGGAGGCAAGGGATGGAGGTCATTGTCATAKGTGGGTTCATCGTCCAAGATATCTACAATCTGACGGGMTTTCACCATGTATCGTTTGTCGCTGTCGGGAAGGTACTCACACTGGCTTAGGAAGTGTCGTGTGTCAGARCGACCAGMTTGTTTGCAWAAGGGGCAGCTCTTCTCCTGCCGGGGAATTCTTGGTCGAAGCGGCTTGTGTGCAACTCTTCCTCGTTGTAGGTTGTGGCCAAAATCGCTACTGACAGCGGATCGCAGGGCTTTAGCATCGTCAGCTACATGAATTTCTTGTAGAAGGGATTCGAGTGCCTGAGAGATTTCAGGCTTTATCGAAGCAAGAGTTCGGGACCTCAGCTCGGTCCCATAACGTTGCTTGACAAGCTTCGGAAGRCTAGGGTGTATTAATTTAAGCCAAGTTAGTACCACGGTGTTTTCGAGGGTTGGAGACAGTTCCTCATCCTCATCTACAGGTACACCATGGTGAGTTAGACCATTGGTCTTGAGYAGACAGTCTTCCACAAAGGCCATAAGTCTTTGAAAAAGGTCTTCCGGCCGTTCGTTGGGTTCCAGATGAATGTCGGAGARATCGATGAAATGTGCCCCGGTTACTTGAAAACCGAAGTGTTGACGGATGSTCTGCCAAATCGATTCTAAGGAGGTCGAATTMTTAACTAGAGAACTTCTTGAAATAATAGGACAGTAATTGGCAATCTGCCCTAGCATCAGCTCGAGGAAGTTGTACTTTTGTTGGGCGGTAAGTCGACGGGCTTCGGGAACGCTGTCGCCGTCGTTGGTAAGGCCGCGAAGAGGTTGTCCTTTGGTTTTCTTTAGCCATTGGAAACCTTCTGCTAGAAAGGGAGCGAAGTTGCTGTCTAAMGAAAGTGTGTAGATAAGGTTTTGTTTCCAATTTTCAAAACTGTTGATAGTTTCCGTTTTAGTTAGGCACCATTGTTTCGGAGCCCGGTGAGWTGAAGCCATGTTGTGATAGTAGATCAGTGCTTATTCGKCGACTTGTTGCCGTTTTGGCTCTTCTTTTAAGTCGATTCTTTGACTCTTGACGTTATTGAGGCTTGGGTTAGACCAACGACTGCCACCACGCCAGTTAGTAATAAAGACAGACCAATACACTGAACCACGAGGTTTAATATCAAGGCTAAAACTAGCTAACTAAATGAGAACATGAACGAAGTTAATCGAGCGAAAACCAAGATGGCCGACCGCCGGTCGGTCACGTGGGTAAAACAAAAGGTACCGCTGACCGGTACTGGCGCTGAGTTCTTACTTGTTGTAGTGTCGTCCGTTCATCGATTGATTTTACGAAGGATAAAGTTTATATGAATCGATATAATACTGATCGACAAAGGATGGGAATAATCCTTGAAATCATTATAATAGAATGCTGTATCTATGAGCCATATTGACACGATTGGTATGAGAAGCTTATACAAGAACGTCTAGACCTCAAAAAATCACATTTTGTGTGTTTAAAAAGCCATTTCTGTATGAAAACACCTGGCCATCTTGGTTACGGGTTTCTAAATGCCCGTATGTTTACAGAAAAAATAAGTGACCTATTAACTAGTCCACATCACCTCACACACCATCATCTATCTCCCTCCAATAACTCTTCAATTGGTTCGCAATCTTCGAGTCAAAAATGGTCAACCTTTACAATATTTGGTCGCCCGACAATATTACACCAGTTTCATCCAAGCTACATGTACTTTCTCAATTTGCTTTTCTAATTTCTTAACCCAACCTTTCAGAACATACGCTCTGCGCAAAGGACGAAAGGAATTCCTAGAGTGTTCTTTTTTTGCACTAAAGACCTAGTAGGTGACTTTGAAGTAAAGCCTAAAGACTGATTAGGAGTAAACGCGATGTAAATTGTAAGAAATGAAGCTGTACTTAATGGCATTGGATTACAGTGGAGTGACATGGTTATAAGTGTTTTTTTTTTTCCTAAAACAAATGAAATCCATAAGCATAACGTTGTGGCTTTAGCCCAGTTTGTATTTTTTCAAGCGTAAAGATATCGATGTCAGATCTAATTTAAACATTTCAACGGACAAATCGAATATTCCGGAGCATGGAACTCAAGAAATTTACGGAGGTTTAGAACATTTCGATCTCCTTATAAGATTCGACGGAAGCAAGTTATTTTAGGTTTCTTACCCTCGTTTACTTTTTCTATATTTCCAAAAGGATTTTGGGATCTGGGACGAAGCTGTAGTCTTCTCTTTCCCAAAGTAGCCATGTTGACAGCTAGGATTCTTCCATGAACGGATTCGTATTCTGACGATGCAATAAACAGAGTATCATTTCGATTCTTATCAAAATATACTTATATTGTGACATGTTTGATGGGGAGTGTGCTTTATATTGATATTGCCAATCATGCGTAGAA